TAAACCTTTCTATAAACAAGCTAGGTGCAGGACCCCACACATCTGTGTGTATTACTTCAAAAGGTAAAATGGACTTTGAAGCAACAACAGGGAATGGTAACTTGGTGAACTTGCCTTGCAAGCAAGAAGTACAAGTATGAAAGTTTGTATTACAAGGAAGACTAATATTTGATTCCCTAAGAGATGGAGTAACCACTGAGTGTGTATGATGACCTTACATACAATGCCATAAGTCATTTGACACTTTTTGACCAATGAAAGCAACTGGAAAATGAGTTGAAGTAATAGAGCCTCGAGACTTTAGTATAGGAAGAGGATAGACAACATGGTTACTTAGTCCTTGGTAGAGCATTTTCCTGGTGACCTTGTCCTGTATACAGAAAGAACGTTCATCAATAATACATCTACATTTATTGTCTCGACACAACTGATTCATAGACAATAAATGTTGAGAAATTATGGGAACATGCAAGACAGAATTGAGCTTAAATTGATGTGAATGAGTATTAAGACAAGAACTGCCAATATGTGATATAGCTAAACCTTCACCACTGGCACTAGTCACAGTCTCATTAGATGGATATGGTATAGCCATTTGCAGATTGGAGAGGTCTGAGGCCATGTGGTTAGTTGCACCTGAGTCCAAGAGCCAATACTCTTGCTGAAGAGCAGAAACAGATAGACCTGATCTTACTTGCATAACAATAGGTTGATTGGAGCTGGAATGAACCATCATAGAAGGATGATATACTGGTGCCATAGCAGGAGGATAAAGCTATTGCGGTGTTGATGGATTAAACTGAGGCATATTAGAAGATTGATAACCCTGAGAAGACTGTCCTCATTGAGAGTGAGTGAAACTCTGAGATGAGGACATTGGATAGAACTGAAATTGAGAATTATTCCTATCAAAGCAAGTAATAGCAGTATGACCCACTATATGACAAATCTGACATCCATTTGGAAAATAGTTGAGTGCAGTGTGCCATTTTCAATCACAAATTTGACATATCTGCAAATGATTGTAATTCTATGGTGAAGTTTGTTGTTGCCCTGATGAATGAAAGAATTGTTGAGTCTGTGATTGATGAGGTTGAAAACCTTGAGCATGTTGAGATTGAGCACCATTGTACTGATAACATTATGAATTTTGAGAATATAACTTCTTGCTTTTCCCTTTAGTTCTATAATTGTTGCCTCGAAAATTGTTATATGAGCCAGAACCATTTTGAGAAACAAAAGCTAATGGAGACTGAACTATATAAGGTAATGGTAATTATTGAAACCTTGGAGATGGCTGAAAAGCTTAATTAGGCATCTGTGACATTGAAGTAAAAGACATTACAGATCCTAAAACATTTCCAGATCCTGAATCTGATGACAAGGGTAAGTTCTTTGAGCTAGAAGAACCTCATTGATCATAACCAGACCCATAAGTGTACATAGCAGTCATCAAGGAACTTTGTTGAGTTACTTCGTCCAATAATGTAGCTTCTTCAGCTTTTAATTGAGATCGAAGTTCCTTAATAGAGACAAGATTCTCTCTACCTCGAATGACTGCCTTAGTTGTGTTATAATTAGAAGAAAGACCTCTCAATGTAACTATCACAATATCTTCATTTGGAATGATTACATCACTAGTAGCTAATTGATCCCTATAGTCTTTAATCGTCTGTAAGTACATGTCTATAGACTCAAACCTTTTCTTGATATTCTGTAAATCAATCTTGAGTTGAACTATACTAGTTCTAGTGATATTAGCAAACCTTTCACACAAATTAGTCCACATCTCATTATAGCTTTGACAACCAATCACACAAGAGAGTGCAGAAATAGACAATGTAGTAGATATTAAGGTCATCCAAGCCTTGTCATGAATTTTCCAAATCTCGTAGTCATTAGATACAGGTTGAGTATTATCAACAGTTTTAGTTTCAGAATCTGAATCCTCATACTTAGCAGGGCAAGAAATCGTACCATCAACAAATCCAATTATACCATTTCCTTCCAAAATTATATCTATTTGAAAATTCCAAGTAATATAATTGGAATCATCCAATTTAAAAGTGACAGTATTACCAACACTTGGAATTAATGAGGATATTGGCGATTGTGTAAGTGCTTACTGATTAGAAGTCACCATGATTCATAGCAAGACAAACAGTGTAGAAACTTCCAAATGAAGAAATTGCAATTGAAACGACAAATCAACAATCAAGCAATAATTTCAACAACTAACAACTACTGTCGTAGTACGAGCTAGATACAGCAACAAATCAAGATTATAACAAGAAATCCCCAAATGTTAGGGTTTCGTGAATCAACTTACATAATTTTCACAAATCTGAGAACAACAATGCATAAACAAACTAGAGAGGTAAGCAATCAAGCAACCGTACAACGATGATCAGAAAATACATACAAAAAACTCCAGAAATTGCTAGAAAACCTCCAAGATTTAGAAAGGCACAACTCAACAAAGAAGCTGTAAAATACCATCGAAACAATACAAGCAAAAAACAACGAAGGTGACAACAAACACCGTAGTAGCAATGATGAAGATGAGCGGAAGCAGTATGATCGTCAACCGAAGGTGGTGGCCATTCCCGACGATGATACCATGATAACTTGTATGTAATCTTGCAGAGAAAGCTAAACAATGATATTGCAGAGAGAGAAAGATAGAGAGAGAAGGAAAGTTTGTTTTAACTATATCTCATTCAATATCATAATTACAGCAACAATCTTTGTATTTATACCGTACAACCTCAACTAACTACCTTAATACAAAATCATTGATCTGATGACACTTGTCATGATCTTAGACATATATCAACTCTATCAGTTTCGGCCCCTTGGGAGGTTTGCCATCCAATTCAACTGAATTTTCCACTTCCAAAGCTGGCTTTCCAGAATTGTCGTTGGTCTTGGGTTCTAAGATCAGCTAATATGGCAGCGGATGTTTTAGCGTCGGTTGGTAATCCGGAGATGTGTGATGTTATTTGGGTCGATCGACCTCCATCTTCGCTGGTGCATGTTTTGAACAATGATGGTCTACCTTGTTCGCATTAAAATTGTATTGGCAGTGTATGGGGCGACGCTTTCACTTGGTTGAAGTGTCCTCTTTGATGTATCCCCCTACACTGTTTCTGACATTGTCTGTTTAGCTTGGTGCTTGCCTCACTGTAGGCTCTCTTGTAATATTTTGGCATCTTTGCCCTGGAATCAAATTCCCAATTTACCAAAAAAAAAAAAAAAAAGTTGGAGGCTTTTGAATTGGTGGCTTGTGTGGTGGTTTATGGGGAGTTTTATGGTGATCATCACCATGATCAGCAAAAGAACTAGTGCTGAGAAGTATCGCACGCAGGAACATTGCGAGAAGCCATTTGGGAGACATTGTTAGGGTCGCTACAGAGATGTGCGAAGTAGTGGCATATTTTCAAATATAGATGGCTGTCCAAAAAAATTTAAAATTGGAACATGGGTGGCCAAATTAAAGAAAATTGTAAACATAGCCACTCTACTTCGAATTTCTAACCTATCTAGTCCAAGTTACATTTGCACTATCAAGCTACAACTCATCACATCACATGAAAATTACGTCGCATCTCTTATTCTCTATCTTCATTTTTCATTGATTGTTGCAAGTTGAATTTCTATTTCTTTTTACTCATAGTCCCCTACCCTTTTAGGTCGGGTTCCCACTGCCCCTAAGAGCTAGAGATTATGGCGGGGTTATGATTACTTTGTACACAAGCACCCATCAAAGTCACCAAATCCATGTGGGAACTCAAGAAACTGACCGTGGAAACTTAGATTTTTCAACCAATATAAGACGATTTAATTAGACACGAAATAGCAATCTTTGGAAAGCAACCAATTTTGTGACCATTGCTCAATTCTATACATATTATTGTTGGAGCAAAAATTTAACTTAACATGAACCCTAAATCACATGTTAATCTATATGAGTAGAAGACTTATCTGTTGAAGACATGGTGGTTGTAAAAGAACTCTTCTACTCATTTAGAGACCCTTATATTCTAATGGTGATAGACCCCGAACGTAGAACCCTTTCTCTATAAGCAGGGAATTCATTTATATGATGCAATGGTAGCCAACTTCCATCTATTGTGGAGGGTTGGTTGTTCACCCGTTGCACCAAATGCCAACAGTGTATGGAGTGGCTTTAGAAGCACGTTGGATGTATTTCCTCAATTATAGGATGTTGGTTTTACATGTATTCAAACTCTAATGATTTGCATTACCAACATATTACTTCTCCTTTATCACAACTAGTTGAGTCCACATAGGATTCTTACAATTATATACTAAAAGTGAATGGAAATGCATATAATGTCAAATTTGGTCCCTAAACCATTGCATTGATCAATCATATAGATGGTATATGGTCAAAGTTAAATAATATACAAGGAACTGCGTTCTAAGTTCAAACTTTCACTTTCTTCTTAGTATAATTAAGAGTTGTAATATCATTAATAATAACAAATATAGACAACTGAAAGTCTAGACATGAATTAATTTTAATTGCTGCCTCAAGATTTGGTAGGTGAATTCTGAACACAAATTTTTCATACGAGGCCAAAATGTTCTAAGATTGACAAAAGTTCAAAATCTTGTAAAAGATTAATGTTGAACAAACCTAAATCTCCATATTTGAATTGGCATTGCATTTGTTTTGTCTGTACCCACTCTGAAACTCACTAATCTTACTAACCAAAATGTATATTATAATATTATTTATCGATTGCTTACAAGTAACTAAATTTGAGAACAAAATTATCTCTACTATTATTGTAATCAACTGTCAATCACCCGTACCATTGAAAATCCTACCGATTATTTGACATTCACGTATGAAACGAAATCAGCAAGATCTTACCAATTATTTGACATTCACGTATGAAACGAAATCAGCAAGATCTAGACACCTGTATTTGCCGAGGCCCTTCAGATCTTCCATAACCAAAAACCTACAGATGATGATGAGTTACTCAAAGTCGCTTGTGCTATTGCTTGGAGTGATGGTTCTCATCACTTCATCTCTAGCTCAATACAATGAGCAACCCAAGCCACCTACCTCTAGTCCTATTTACAAGCTCCCAGCTCCCATCAAGAAACCCCCACCCCCATTTTACAGAAAGCCATCACCACCACTAAAACCACCAACTCTTCCTCCCATTGTGACAAGACCACCACCCCCGTTTTACAAAAAGCCATCACCTCCACTAAAACCACCAACTCTTCCTCCTATTGTGATAAGACCACCACCCCCATTTTACAAAAAGCCATCACCTCCACTAAAACCACCAACTCTTCCTCCTATTGTGATAAGACCACCACCCCCATTTTACAAAAAGCCATCACCACCACAAAAACCACCAACTCTTCCTCCTATTGTGATAAGACCACCACCACCATCGCCTCACTCAAAACCACCAACTACTCCATCTCCTATTTTGAGATCACCATTACCTAGGCCCGTGAAAAAGCCACTTCCACCACCTCATGCCAAACCAACAACTCTACCTCCAGTTGTAGGGAAGCCACCCCCCACCAAAGTATTCGGGACACCCTCCATCGAAGAGTCCTCAACAGCCACACAAGCCGGCGGCTCCATATAAGAAGCCTCCTCCATACTACAAGCCGCCCCACAAGCCCAGAACTCCACCCGTCCATCATTACTAACGAGTTAAAATAAAATGAGCTCTAGTCGATCGCTCGCTAGAAATAAGAACACCTCGGGACACCACCTCATTTTGCAGCTGCTTTTGGTGTGACTTATAATTACTAGCTTTTATTTGTCGAAATAATTACTAGCTATTTTTAAGGAATTTTCGTATCTTCGTTATTTATCTATCGCCAACTAGGTTCTTCTCTCTTAGCTGGTTGATCATACTGTCTTTTGCCTATACATGCAAAAATCATTTTCAACTGGGTAATGTTATAATTTAGGTTTTATGATCATTTTGTGCAATTAATTGGAAGTGATTTATGCATCATGCTTCTATAATTTACTCCATTTATATGAGCAATCTTATATATCTCAGTCTTTAAACTAAATAAAACTAAGAAACATCAATAAATAGAAATAAATAGAGGCTGATTTGCAGAATTTATTTCCCTATTCAGAGGCATGAATACGCTTTTAAATTACAACATACAAGGAAAAATTGGTGGCAAACCAAACTAGCACCATCACGACATTGGCAATCAAATTAACGCCAACTTCATCAACATAATAATCAATGGTAGCACTAGGCTGAACTAAAAAAACTCCTTCGCGTCATCATGAATAGCTGGCGAATTCTTTTCTTCAACTCCACAAAATTCTTCAATCCCAAATTGTTCTGTTTGCTTACTAGAACACAATCACAATCATCTTCAAGGCAATGATCAAATATTGGTGGTAGACTTACATTCAACGAATCTGAGACACTAAAATAACCCCACAACTTGAACTCAAGATGTCAGCTTCATCACTTGAGTAACCTGGGCTTAGCTCTCCAGATTTGTCGCTAACATTTTGTTGATCAAGTTGTATGGTTAGGAGTTCGACTTGTCGTCGTAGCTCTTGAATTTCATTGTCACTCTCATTTCTATGGTTTTCTTGCACATGGTAACCACACCTTCCTCTACGGCTCCTTGCTGCCATTTAGATAAATGATGCGGAAGCTACCTAAAGAGCGTAGCAAAACTCTGATACCAATTGATACAGGGAGGAATACAAAGAGAGGTTTATTGAAATCTCAAGCACAACTAGACCCAAGAAACATATAGAGAACTAGTCTATGTTTACATAAAATCATTCAAAATCCATTATCTGCCTCAACCTCCAGAATTCTTGCCTTTTAAAAGGCCTAGCCAACTGCCTAATTTAAAACTACCACAACTTTCCTAGTCCACTACAACATAAGAAATAATAATCACTAAGTTCCAACCCAACCACATAAAAAGAAAACACAATATTCTAAATACTTGATTACTAGGGATATTAACTAGATGTGAAAACTTAAAGGACCATCCCGAATATCAAGATCCCTAATTAATCAACCAACTTAATACACTGCATCGGACTTAGGCATAGAAGATCCATTGGCCAAACCCCTCACCTCGTGGGCGCGTGAGGCTTTGTCCCTGATTAAAGGTGTTTATTGTTTTGTAAATACAAATTTGTCAAGACTAAGACGTCATATTTTTAACTTTGTATTAGAATCCTTTTAGCCCGAGGATTCCTATAATCTTGGGTTTCCTGGTTTAGGGTGTATCTCTTGTAATTATTCCTTCCCCTTTATGTTAGGATTGTATATGATTTATATATACCTTTGAATGAGAAGAATAGAATATACTTGAAAAGCATTATTTCCTTTTGGCACCAGAGCCGAGTCGAGAAAACGAAGAACAAAACCGAGCCCTAAATGGGTTAGTTTGCCGTGCTTAATGCCCAGCATTGCTACTGCATGGTTTTTTCCAGTCTTGAACAGCAAGCGACCTTAAGCCACGAGTCGTTGCTGCCTGTATTCGATCGATCAGACTTGTGGTGATTGTTCATCACGTTGCTGAGTTGGTTCTACAACTGCTGACGCGGCTGTTCCTGTTGTGGTGCAATCAGACAATTCGAATTTCAATATCAGTATGTTATTGGATGAGAGGAATTATGATTTGTGGGCTTCTCTTATTCAAATTCATAATGTTGGAAGGAAGAAGATGGGGTACCTTCGTGGGTCTATCAAGGCGCCAGCCGAGGATGACCTAAAATATGACGATTGGTTCTTGGATGATTAAAGAATTAAGAGTTGGTTGATGTCGTTTATGAAGCCAGAGATGATGAAAAGGTATATTCGGTTGGGTACTTCTAAAGAAATTCGGGACTCCCTTAAAACAGCTTGCTTTGACGAGAATGGTGAGGTTAGGATTTATTCCTTGAATGAGGCTAGGATTTATTCCTTGAATCAGAAAGCATCACGTCTTCACCAGAACGAACGATTGTTGGCTACCTATTTTGGGGAACTAACTAAGATTTTTCAAGAGTTAGACCACTTTAGCAAGGCAACCATGGAGTGCGAAAGCGATATCAAAACATTCCAAAAATCAATTGAGTGGCAAAGAGTTTATTTGTTCCTTGGTGGTCTGGATGATGTGTTTAATCAAGTCTGTGGAGAAGCACTACGAAAAGATCCACCGCTCGAACTTCAGGCCTCTTATGTGTATGTTCGTTGTGAAGCAGATGGTAAGGAAGCCATTAAGATAGAAGGTGTCAGAACAGAACCTGCAGCTATATATGGTAGCCAAGGCACTCGACCCCTCATATCTGTCTGACTGAGGCGGGTCTGAGAATCGGTAATGGTAGACAGGGGCTGACCAGACAAGCCAGGATCGTCCTCTGGGTAAATGCCCACACAATGGTATGTCGGGACACTCTAAGAGTCGTTGTTTTGAGTTGATTGGATATCTCAAAAATTGAGATAAGACCCATGATCCTCGTTGCAATAAACCTCGAGCCTCAATCGCAGAAACTAAGAATGATTCAGATGATATAGCAAACAAAGCATCAGCTCTGATTGCTGCGGCAGGTAATGATGTTAAGACATTTAATATCTCTACTCCTGTTATGAATAACACGTGAATAATTGATTTAGGGTCTACTGAACATATAACTTGTGATTCTAGAGAGGTTTCATTACTAAAAAACTCCACACAAACCATGGTCAACGTTGCTAATGGTAGTGCCGCCCCAGTTATCGGGGAAGGCATCGTTCTCTTTCTGATACCATGAAACTTGATACTGCCCTTGTGGTTCCATCCTTCAATTATAATTCATTACCCGTTGCCCAAATAACCTTTGCCTTGCGCTGCTTCATTGTTTTTCGACCTTATTTTTTTTTGTGTTTAAGAACATCCGGAAGCGGAAGACGATTGGTTATGGTATTAAATAAGGGAAGTTGTATTTCCTAGAGTTGAATTCAAATAGTTCTAGCTTGCTGACTCAAGCTATTTCAGTTGATGGTTCTCAATGAGAGACTAATAAAGTGTCGGACTTCTGGATGTGACATTGTCATCTTGGACATGTTTCATTTGGTTATTTGCATAAATTATTTCCTAGTTTGTTTGTTAAAAACGATGTCTCTCAATTTAATTATGATGTGTGTGAAATGGCTAAGAGCCATCGAACTTCTTTTCCTCCAAGTTAAATAAAAGTTCCATTCCTATTATGATTGTGCACTCTGATGTTTGGGGTCCCTCGAAAATAGCTTCTCTTGGTGGAGCTCATTGGTTTGTCACTTTTATTGACAATTGTACGAGAATGACTTGGGTTATTTTGTTAAAATAGGAAAGAAAAGTTAGTTCGGCCTTTCAAAAGTTACACAAAATGGTTGATGTGTAGTATAATATGAATATCCAGATTCTTTGAAGTGATAATGGAGGAGAGTATGTTCATACAGAACTTTGTTCTTTTCTTGATATGCATATTATTTTTCATCAGACCACATGCCTGTATACTTCTCAGCATAATAAGTTGGCCAATAGACCCTTGTTAGACGTGGTCCGTGCTTCCCTTCTTGAGCACGCCTTCCAATGCATTATTGGGGTGAAGCATTCACGTCTGCTACGCATCTCATTAATCGTCTCCCTTCTCGCACTCTAGACTTTCAGACATTGTTTCAGACCCTTATGTTTCTGACTAGCTGTCCACCAGTTTCTAATATTTCCCCATAAGTCCTTGGATGTGTCACTTTTGTCCACCTACATCCGATCCAAAGACAAAGTAAACTTGAGCTTCGAGCCCTCCTTTGTGTGTTTATGGGGTATGCTACTACTCAAAAGGGTTAACGTTGTTATCATCCTTTGACTAAGAAAATGTTTATTACTCCATATGTAACTTTCCATGAAAAAGAAATCTATTTTGGTTTCTCTGAGTCCTCACTTTAGGAGGACTTCCGAGGCGATGAAATTCAAATGTTTAATTATGGGAATAAACAGTAGCCCACTGACCAGCGGCTGACTAGACAGCAGCTTGCTGACCATGACAGGCCCACGAGACTGCAAGAAACCTGGCCCATGGGACAACAAACTGAAAAGGCCATGATAGGAGAACCCACGATAAGAAAGCCCACGATCCTGTTGTTAAAGATAGAAGAGTAGCCCATATCTATTGATAATGACACCCCATGGTAACTGCAACCCACAATTTTAGGAGAAACCGAGCATACAAACTCGTCTTTTAGTGATACCCATAACCAATCTCCTTCTATACTGGATGGACCACCACTTCATCGTCTTCCACAATGTATTAACCAAGGTATTCCTAAACACATTTAAGAGGTGGGTCCTGAGTGTAAAAATAAAAATTCAGTGAGTGAACCAAACCCGAACTCTAGAGTGAGGTACCCATTAAACAATTATTTGTCTACCTGTCACATGTCTGAATCAAATAAGTCATTTGTGTATGAATAATCTACTGTATATATATTCCTAACAGTGTGCAGGAAGCCTTAGTTGATCATCGATGGAAATAAGCGATGAACAAGGAACTGAGATCGTTGAAGAAGAATGCTACCTAGGAAATATTGGATTTGCCAACAGCCAAGAAACCTGTAAGATGCAAATGGGTATATACAGTGAA